AGAGATACAAAAGTGGGCGGTAGGTATAAAAAGGTTGACTATCCTGACCTAACAGAAGGGAAATGGAGCATGCCAACCTACAGGTGCTTTTAAAAAATGTTATTTTCTTTTTCTCATGCTGAATTTATTTTAGATTCATATTTACCTTGTCCATAAGGTAAAGTAGTGTTTTTCTCTTCTCCCAACAATGGCATTGTGGTACTGGAGGCTAAAGAGCTAACTCTTCCCCTCTGGTTAGTTAACTGACAAGGAGTTAGGGGCATAAGGGATACTACTGTTTCACCACATGGCCCGCCCAATCCAATCAGGCTGTTTTCAGGCAACTTTTAAAGACAGGCTTGACACTCTTATGGAAGAGTACAAGATCCATGTTTCATTCTCCATTTCTCCTGCCAGCCTGAAAAATTGGGGATAGGTAAGTGACTATTCCACCCACCATCCTTGCCTGTTTAACTAGTCTTGCACTTTTCCAGAGGCATACTAAACCTGTGTTCAATATAAAAAATCTATATATATAATAGGCAAGTACCACTCACTCATCACGAAATCTCCAGAACTGTAAAGCCTACAAACTTAAAATTTGGCACGTATGCTCTTGGCTTCTAGGTGCTCACTAAAAAAAGATTTTTTGAAATGACCATCAGATCATTAGTATTTCTTATACAGTAATTAATACACTCTGATGCTAAGGAGTTCTACTCCCCCTCCCCACCTGAAAAGTACTCTGTTCCAACTGCCAGTTGCCTCATATTCCATTACCTCAGTTCAAACTGGCAGACTTTCCACTCAGAAATGGTCCAGGGCTCCCTACCCTACATTAGTAAACATCGGTACCTCACCAAAATGTCTATGCCTTCCACCCCTGGAACCACTTCCAGAATCAAGGTGGTGGGAGTAATATTTGCTTATGTGTTTCAATGACCGACCACCACTGGATTGTGAACTGAATTTCTCCTGCATAGCCTGATCCCATAGTTTCATCGCGAAGTATCTTTATAAAATTACTTTATAGTAACTTTATAAACCACTGAGGATGGGGAACAGGCCTATCCCCTGCCAATTGTTGTGTTTAGAGCTATCATATCTCTTGCTTTACTAGACTGTGCTCACCCACAAATCTACAGGACCTGAACTATAGAGTAGCCTAAGGCTTTCAATGCATCCCATAGATGATTTGTTCAATAAATGTTGCCCTATAAAGCAGAATAATGGCAGCTCAGGATCATATTTTGACAAATGATCCACTTATCTATTAAATAATTCCTTGCCAGCAGGTGACACTAGAGGAATTCAACAGTTTCCTTAAATTGTCCAGTATCACATCTGCAAAGACAACATCCGTTACTGGCCTCGTTACTGGCTCTGCAAAGAGGGTAACACAAACTAGCACATTTTTGTACTATTTCTTAGACTGGAGGAAAGTACAATAGATAGAATATAAGGAAACCTACAGATATGTCAATCAAATCTTTTCATATACAATCTGTTACTGAGTTGAATGAGGAGCTCTCCCACTGGTTGCTACAAAGGAATGAAAAAATGACTGGGTTTTCTATTTTCTGAGAGTATAAATTCCAATTGTTTAAAAAAATCAAGGCTCTTTTCCTCCTATGCAAGATACTTAGATCTCTTGGCTGATGGAAAACAATAAAAACCAATAGCTATTCTTATAATTGTGTATACTCAGCTTAATTTTTAAATGCTCTGTCTATATTTCCTGTGTTCTTTATTTAGTACATTTCCCCTTTTTGGGGAATGGTTCCTGTTTAAAGTATTTCATTTCATAGAAATTTGATTACAATGCATACAGTAGATAGCTGTACTATTAAATATAACAAAGGCAACCAATGTCTGAAAGCCTTATTTAACTATCCTATTGGACTTGGTAATTTCTTTTAGAGAACTACGAAGTTCCTTATATTTCAAGTTATCTCACAAATTACATTATCTTGGCTACCTCTCATTTTCGGTATTTGTTATTTCTAAAAGAATGGCAAAATATGAATAAAGTTAGTAAATAAATAAAAGCTCATTCAAGACTAAAATATTTGCTGTGGCTTCAAATATACCATTTGTGCCCTGCTGGCTCTGAGGAAAGAAAGTGGTGTTGTTGTGATTGAAGCAGTGGCTAAAGAAAGTGTGTAGGTATTTATTTCATTTCTTAAGAGTTATACCTCAGCTTTGTTCCAAAAGATCAAGCCGCTTTCGCTTCCAGTTTTCATCTCAGCAATAAACTTGACTGGTCCAAACCTTCTCCAAGAATTTCCATGGCCCTGGATCCCTCCACCTGGCCTGGGCAGTGATTACCTTCAGCATTTTATTTCTTTCAATGAACTTGTATGAGAAACTGCTGAAGATCCATCAGGCCCAAGAATTTCAGAGCGGAGGTTCAATTTTCAGAAGGGGGTGGAAGGCTCCATTCCTTCATTATATTATACCCTTTAATTCCCATAATTTCCTCCAAACGGATTGAAGGGTAGATCCTTCCATGCTTAGAAAACTGACCCCATACCCAGCAGCTACTCCTGCGGGGAGTTAGCGAGTCCACAGCTCGCAGCTGCCCGACCCTCTAATCCTGCAGACAGGTGGGCCAACGCCGGGCGAGGAGGGGGCGGTCCGGACACGACTCCTGGACCTATAAACCGGCCTCCTCCGGTAGACGGAGAAGGCGAGCACCCCGGGAGGAAAAGCGCCCACTGAAGCTCGTTTCCGCGGGCGGGAAACCGGACCTGTTGAACACCTCCGCCCATCGATGTCTGACCTCGAAGCTCCTCCGGTGGCTCAAGAGGTCGCTCTGCCCGCAGATCCGCCCGCTCCGGAGGAATCCCGGACACCTAACCTGGCCGGAGCGAGAAGCCAGCCGGCGCCCGCGGCAGAACGCGCCCTGCCCATCGAGAAGACCGTAGAAGGTGAGGGAGGGAGATGGGAGGCGGTGAAATGAAGAGAAGGGAAGAAGGGCTGCGTGACCCTCTTTCCTCCAGGCCATCCAGCCAGGTGATGCGATGAAGGGTGGTGTGCTGTGGGTATGGAGGGGCATTTCTCCCAGTCGACGTTCAAAAAGCAATGTAAAACACTCATATCCCGACCATTTTCCTGTGATGCTGGTGACAACACTCTTTAAAAATCACTGTCTTCCACCAGGAAAGGGTTATGCTAGGCTACAACTTCCCCAGAGCTAAATGGAGATGATAAGCATTGTAAATGAGATGGCATTAAAACGATGACAAAGTGCACTGTGGCACAGGGACACAGTTCCTGCAAATAGATGCTTGTGTTAAGACATCTGACACCAGGGCATATTTCATAGCATTTGTTTGAGTATGTCGTCGGGCACCCACTTCACCCGCAGATGCCCATGATCTTCGTGCAACATATGAGCACAAACCAGTGCTTGTCAAGCCTTTGATATCTAGATCAGCCTGTTCCATTCTTGAATTCTGTGGATAATTTAAAACTAGAGCTTTTAGATTTTGCATTGGGCACACTTGAGAATTGGGGGGGGGGGCTAGACCAAAACTTCTAGAACCCATCCAGCTGGGGAAGATTGATCTAGGGAAAGCATAGATCTCATTAAATAAATGCTTACACATCAGTCATTTTTAATCACAGATATTAATATCTGCTTTTAGTATGGTGCCCAAATAACTGGTTGTACAGTTGAAAATGAGAAAGAGCCTATTATATAAAGTTTTCTGTATGGAACATTCACCCAGTAGGAAACTCAGCACAGGTAGACTGTTTGGTTCTATGGAAATCCCTATGCATGGATATGTGTTCACAAGGGCCCCTGGAATGTCAGCATGCATTGCCAGTTGGAACTCACTGAAATTAGTCCATGGCATAGTTCTCTAGTCATAAATTCATCTGAGACACTGATTACAATTAAAAGTTGTGTGCAGCAGGTAGGGATGTGTTTATATTAACCAGCAAATATTCTCAGCTTGTCCAGCTAAGCCATTCAGTGAGAACTGTGAGTTAGCACAGCATCAAGGTTGCACCTGTAGGGATGGCAAATGATTTATTAATGCTTCTATATTTATAGTGGCAGCATCTTTCAGTGCACCGCTGAACTTGGCAGTGGAGGCTGTGAATGACAGCTCTGTGACCCTAACATGGGATGGTCCTGAAAATGTGGGCCCTTCTGGTCTGGATGGATATGTAGTGGAGTACTGCAAAGATGGAAGTAGGTTTGATTTTATTCCCTTGCAAGCATGAAAAATTGCAGCATTGTCATATCAATTAGTATGAACACATTGTTTCTCCTCTTGATAGTTGGCAGCCACAGTCAAAGAGAATAGTATGGGAGAGGGATAGATTTGATGTAATCTTCACTGAAATCTTGAAAAGTGTTGCTCAGTTCCTTTTGGGAAAAAATGTAATGGTTACTTCTGCTAAGTAGTAGCACACTTGATCACCGAATTACATACTTGCTCTTTGATGCTATATAGTACATATGTTGGAACAACCACTTTATAGAAGTATAGATTTGTCTAGAATTTAACATGAGACTTTCTCTTGAAGAGTGTAAGGTGGGAAGATATTTCACAGAGGTAAATTCTCCTCTGCAAGTGTTGCACTGTTTCTGCTCAATTGCTAAGTAATACAGGTTGCACCTGGCCAAGAAATCTTGTGCAAACATCCACTCCAATGTGGCAATAAGGGAAACCAGGAAATAAAAATTTTGGTTATCTGCTACATTTTCGCTACATCTTTGGAACATGATTACGCCCCTCTTTCAAATAGAATTTTTGTAAGAAATCCTTATATAGGAATGTTAGATAACATATAATGGAAGCTGCCAAAATGTCCCTCATAGGTATGCCATAGTTCAAACTCACGGCGTCACGTGACATATTGTCACATGACATATCGGGACTTTCCCCCCCTTCGCTAAACTGGGGGTGGGGGTGGCTTGTGACGCATCCGGCCTCTGGGCCAGGAATTTGACAGCTTTGCCATAGTTGCCCTGCAAAAACTCAGGTTATCACTAAGTGGAGCAAGGAGTGAATGTTTGTTTCTGTCTTTTAATGACCCTCAAATGTTTTCAGCTTATAGAAGAGGTCCACAAAGTACTTGCCTGTAACTGTCATAAGTTGTGATGGTCATAAAGCAAGTCACTATTGTGACTGAGTCAATTTTACAACATTTTTATGGCAGTTGTTAAGCAAACCAATTGTTTGCTATGGTTTTGCTGAAAACTGGAAGTATATACCAATTTTCTGGAAAAACATTGTAATGAAATCTGCTTTGGAAAGTCTGGCTTAGGACATTTCATTTATGAACAACTCTGTACAATAAATAAATGACATATTGATGCCATCATAGCTGAGTGAATTTTAAAAAAAGATTGTTTCACAACATGTTATAATGACAATAAATGATGAATGAAATCTGCCAAATTCATCTAGCTTAAATGAGCTAACAGCTGATTATTCCCTTTTTTGATTTTTGAAAAGCAGATGGTTTACAAGGATTGATTAGATGGGGTGTTAGAAATACAGGAGGATGAATAACTTCATATACGGTAAATACATTACATTGAATTTAGCTGTTGGCAGTGCTTGCAGAATATATTCTGTTTCAAACTGTTTGTGGAATATTTCATTTCAGCCAATTTCAGCTTGTATGAATATATTACTGTATTGCATAGCCACTTGATAAGTTTGGAGGGCTATTATATTTTCTCCCTGATTATATTTCAAACTATTAATCTTGAATCATTACATTTTTGTCAACATGATAAAAATGTCCACAAAAGAAGATCTAAATAATACCTAAAAGTTTTCATGGTAACAATAAGGAAACTGAAACAATAGGGAGCAAAACTGAGATTCTATGCAGTGCAGTGGTTAAAATGTTGGACAAGGAGCGAAGACACCCAGGTTCAAGTACACCCTTGGATGGGGAAGCTCACAGCCCATCACTCTCAGTTATTTGAGGTCACAGGGTTGTTGTGGAGAATAATTGCAACAAGAAGTGCTATGTGAGGAAAATTCGAATATACCTCTTTATAAATCAATTAAAGTATAGATATGTATACTATATGTGATCAGAAGTAAATAAGTTGTTAGACAACATGACTTTGTATTTCCATGTGATAAATTATTTCTAAGAGCCCAATCTCTTCTATACTGTACCTAGTCGAAAATATCTTCTTCTGGGCTCAGCAGTCTTCTTCAGTTTTCTTTTTTAAGTAAACTGAGTGGACTTTCTCAGTATTTCCAAATCTCGTGGTTTCCATCTTTCATTCTTCCCAAACCATGTCAAATACCTCTGAAGAGAATCAGACTTCAGAAGGCTACTTTTTTGGAAGATAATAAAGGTCTCAATGTTCCTGAGAAGAGTTTTAATATTAGTTCTTTGGTACAGAATTGCCTTGCTGCTGATCTTTTTCCACATTTTTGTTTTAGCAACGAACTGGGTGAAAGCCAACCAGAAACCCTTTCTTTGTGTTCGTTACACAATCCACGATTTAATATCTGGAGATAAACTTCATTTTCGAGTGAAAGCTGTAAAAGGTAATGCAGTTAGTCAGCCAGCAGTTCTGGACCAGCCGCTTCTTATCAGGAAAATTCTTGGTATGTATCTGTAAGAGTGTGTGTGTGTGTGTGTGTGTGTGTGTTGTGAGCATCTGCATGTGCACATACAAGGATAGTGCTTGGGAGAAGAAATGTGCCATTTTTTTTCAAGCAAGTTGTCTTTTGACCCACTAAGATAATCATTCTTCCCATTGAGTTTAATTTTAAAAATGGCTTAGAACATAAAACAAAAACAATCCCTAACTTATTTCATGTCAATCAATTGTCCTCAAACTAACAATCCATAGTGCATTTTGGTTTTTAAGAAGCCAGAAGATCTGCCACAGATTACCAGCACAACAACATTGACTCTTTATTGCAGCCAAAGGTCAGTCATTTAAAAGAGTCTGCAAGCACTAAAAAATCCAGACAATAGAAGACTACATAATAAGAGTGGTAGACAGAGTGCTACAACTGTTGAGACAAATGAATTAACATTTTGCTGGCAACTATTCTTTGTCTGCAATGTTTCTTTGTCTGGATCTGAAAGAATGCAATTTAGGATTTCACTTAAAATATTGGCTGTTTTAAAACATCGGCATTTATATTGTCAAAGCTGAGCAGATGGACCGTTTTAACAACACGTTCTAATGTGAGCAAATGTGCTATTCCTATTTTTGACAAATATTTGAAGCTTTAGGGATAGTTTTCAATTTCATGCTGCCTTACGAAAATCATAATGTGGGCGCTGCTTAATATAATCTAGTACATGTAACTCATATTTTGTCACTAATAGTATTCATGTTTTCATCCGAACCAAGATTGTAATGACTCACAATTGGATGTCATTTTCTTGCTCTCTTATGATTCCAGGTTATTTATTTGATACATCTATTAAATGTGTATAAAATGTTTTTCCCAGTTTAACATGGTAATTTGTAAAAAAAAAAAATCCTAATGCTGATGGGAGATTTAAAAATGTAACAATAATCCCACAGTAAGAATGCAATGTAAAATTGATCAACTGCAAATGCAAATCATTCAAATATTTATTCCTGCAATTTATATGCCACTCAGTTCCAGAAAAAGCTCTGAGCTGTTTTCAAATGGTATGAAAGTAAAATAGAAAGAATTAGAAGTAACCAAGCTCCCAAACCAGGGGTGGGTTCCTGCTTCTGTTACTGCCGGTTTGCTTAGGGGCGCACTTCGCGTGCACGTGCTTGATGCCTGCTATGCACGCATGCGCAGTAGTAAAAAACTTGCTTCTGTGCAGAAGCAAAAAACAAGATGGCGGCACCGATACAACTGGTTCGGGGGAGTGGCCAGCCAAATTACTACCTACTTGGCCAAACCAGTCCGAACTGGTAGGAACCCACCTCTGTCCCAAACCCAAACCAACCGCCTCCATTTCTTAGCCACCAAGAACAATTCTAGCAGCAGTGTTTGTTTATTGCCGGGATTGGACCCACAAAAGGCTTTCCAGGACCACAAGGCCTTGATGGTTTTCAAGAATATCCACATGGGGCTTGTGCTGGGGTTACTCGGATGAAGCATTATTCCAAACGAAAGGAACAGCTACAGAAGAAGTCATATCATTGTTCTGATGACTGCAATCCCACAAAGATGGGATTTAAAGGTTCTTTTCCCCACTAGATCTTATTGCACAGGCAGAAATCTTTTGGAGAAGACAGTCCTGCAGTGTCCAAGTCCTGAACTAGAGGATTACTGATCACAAATAAATGAAATAAAATGCTAACATAATTCAAGCACCCTGAGGAACAGACAAATATTGGGAGGAGGCAATGTGGCTGCCAGAGTGCTCTCACTTGTGGGGAGGGAGGGATACCCTCTGTAAGGACTTTGAATGAGTCAATATTGAGTAGGTATTAAATAAGTATTTGCAAGAATTACCTAAGTAAATTTAGCTGTCTACAGACCAAGTTTGCAAGCTTACAACCTGGACTTGGAATTGGACCTGAAAAAGAATGGAAAGCCAGGGAAAACATAACATATTTTTGGGAGCTTGGAGAATTAGAAGAACTCTTACAGTGTACCTTCACTTATTTTGGATCTATTCGAGTTACCGCAGCATCAAGCTCACTGCCTACTATTTGGCAAAATAATAGTGTTTGCTTTGGGGCATTGTCTTTATTTAAAACTGTATGTTAGCTGGATATGTTCATCTCTTTGCAGCTGTTTGAAGCCAGATTCAGTTAACAACCGTGTTACTAACTTGACAACTGCAATGATTTACTTAACAATTGTGGTAAGAAAGCTTGTAAAATGGGGCAAAACTCAGTTAACAAATGTCTCACTTAGCAACAGAAATGTTAAGTTCGATTGTGGTTATAAGTCGAGGACTACCTGTCATTTAAGTGCTACTGCATTTGCAAACGAAGAATCTAGAGCAAATTGTTCTTGCATTCGGCTGTTTGACTAAGAAGCTTGCTTTACCTCCGGGAACCAATTAATGTAGAGTGCTTGCATTCTTCTATAGCCACAATTAGGACCAACTGTGATGGTATCTTAAACCCTAAGGATTTTTTATATAATTAATTTTAAATTAGCTTTCTAATAGTATCATATTTTAGCTCAACTAGGTGCTCTGGTTTTCAATTATGCAAATGACAATAATGCTAACCTCATTGCAGTAGCCTATAATTATTGCTGTTTCCAAGTCCCAGCTTTATTATACAATTGTATCACAGCGGCCAGTTGTTTTGCCGGATTTGGCATTGATTACTAGTCGGGCCCCACCCAGGGACCTAGGACATCGTAACGTATTTTAGTAATATGCGTGCAGATCCAAGCAGTGCGGCTTTTTGCATTTGACTGATGGTGATTTTGTCAATTTTTAACTGTTTTAAATGTAATTCCAGTGCTTTTGGAATAGCACCCAGTGTGCCAATTTCCACTGGCTTTTTATAACCTGTTCAGTCCCACCTCTCTGTTTCCTGTTCCTGTGTAAGAAATGTATTCTGATT